CTTAAGGCCATAGGAGGAGTGCAGGGCAGCCATCCCTAGTGGGGGGAGCATCCTTTGGCCCAAAGCCCCCCTCCTCCTCCGCTCCCTCCTGCTCCCATTGCTCCCCTTCCCTGAAGCCCCCCTCTCCTGAGAGATAAGACCCATGGAATTAACTGATTGCTGCTGCACCCACGTGTCAGGCGAATATTCCCCGCCCATAGCTGGTCGCCGCTGAAGAGGGTCTGGGAGCGCAGTGGATCACAAGTTGACAGGAAGCAACAAAGGGGTGCAATTGTGAAAGATTAAGATAAGAAAATTCTGGGGTGTATTAACAGCAGTGCCACATGTAAGGCACAGGAGGCCACTGTCCCACTGCTCAGGCCCAGTGAGGCCTCCTCTTGATGCGGCGGCCAATTCTGGGCCCACCTCTACCCAGATGTGGAGAAATTGGAGTGATTCCAGAGGAAAGCAGCAAAAATAATAATAAAAAAAGTTTTTCAAAACAACTGGGCACATGTAGTCTTGAGAAAAGACAACTTGGGGGGAACCTGGGAACAGCCTTCAAATATGTTAAGGGTTGTTATGAAGAGAACAGGCCTCAGTCCTTCTCCTTGGCTGACCCAGGCAGGACAAAAGTAACTGGTTTAATCTGCAGCAAGGGAGATTTAAGGTAGAAAGTTTTTCCTAATGTCAAGCCACAAAGACAGGGTTACGTGGTCCTGCCCCAGCGAAGGTCTAGTCCAGCCCTGCGTTTCCACAGTCCTTTTCAGAATCCCTTTGCTTCTCTACAAACTCAGGAGGTCTCTCCACCATCAGCTGCAGGACTCTGAAATGACCACATTTGGAAGCACGGAATTTGCATAATGACGACTACAGAGGAGAGCCTCCAAACCACTCTGTCTCCCAGTCCCTTCTTGCCATATGTTGCCCAAACACTTCCCAGAGAGAGTCAAACCTGGCCAATGACAAGCGGTAACTGCGCATGCATATTTAGGGGAGCAGAGACTGCAGCAAGCAGGTGTGTGTGCGGTGGGGGGGGGGTTCCCCAGTCATGCAACATTTCCTTTGTTGCAATTCACCACTGGGGTTCGTTAGGGCTATGGAGGACAAGCAACTTTTAGCTGAAAGGGAAATGGAAATTGACCAGCCCTGTGAGAAAGCTCCAACTCTTCTGTGTTGGAAATAGTGACAACCGCTTCGCTCGCTGCACTGTGCCTGTCCTGTGGTCTCTGTCTGCCTCTCGCGGGCAAACTGCATGGTAACTCTCCGTGAGCTAGCGACACCTGATTCCTGCCTTTCAATGCAGATTTCTAGCCCCCTCTTGTGGTAAATGCTGGCCAGAAAACTTTCTGGATCTGGTACCAACATCTCTGCCCCCTCTCTCAAGAGCAATGTAGCCAAGAGAAACCAGCTCCATGGCTCGGAGATTGCTCCCACCATCGGCATTCACAGACAGAGGAGGGGGAGAGATTTGTGGTTTTTAAACAAAATGCCTCCCGCCTAGATCAGAACCAGGGGACCCAGGCTCCTCCAGCTTCTCCTACTGCACAGGCACAAGAGACCAGCCAAAGCCAAGAGTGATGGCAGGGGCTTTGCAACACAGAGCTCAATGGGGCAGCAACCCCATGCACAATGCCTAGCACCCTTTCTCAGGCAAGCTCAGAGCGCAGTACAACAGATGGCAGTATCATTAACCCCATTGGGCAGCTGAGGAAACTGAGGCACAGAGAGGGACGTGACTTGCCTGCAGTTATGCAGCAGACCAGTGACAGTCAGAAACAGCTCTCCTAAGTTCAAGACCTGTGCTCTATCCACTAGGCCACACTTCAGGTCAAAACAAACCTTTAGGCTTCCTACTAACATCCCACTAGAGTTTCCTCAAGAATGCGACTGTATTTTGAGCCTCTGGAGAGCATAAGGCATGCTTTAACTCTGCATTTCTCAACCTCACTGGGATGTGGCACCTCTGCTTTTTATGGAAATTGAATTGGCATAGGCATAACTCAAATATGCATTATGCAAATTGGCAAGGCTTGACAAGCGGCGGCGAGCCCTGCTCACCAGTCGCACGGTTTGGCATGCTGCGCATGCACAGACCGCGCTGCAGCACTGTTCCGGCTTAAAACCTGCTCTCCCCAGGCAAGTAGATTGACTAATTTGTCGAGCCCTGCAAATTGGGACATGTAACCTATACATAGAGAGCTTGTAATCCCCCGAATGTGTATACGCTATTTGTGTGCATGTAACCTTCCTGCACATGAAGTTAGAATTATAAAGAATAAGCCCATGTATGTACCTAGATGTGCTAATGAAGGTGATTAGCAGTATTCAAGGAACTTGATGGCCCAGTGCTCAAGGCAATGATCTATAAATAAAATCTTGTTTTTGTAGGACCAATCACAATCCAGGCTTACAGGAAAAAACACATGACCATGCCACCTGGCGCTAGAATCCATCTTGAATTTTATACTTTTCCACAAGGGTATGAGGAATTGAACAAAGACGACTCTCCCGGGGGAAATTCTATATAAGGAACAGGAAGCAAAGAATGATAGTCTTCAGCTGACATCGCAGACCACTTCCCACCCCGAGAGGTTACATGAAAACACCCGGAAATAAAAGAACTCTAGGGAGGGGTTAGAAGCTGCTAGACCTAAGTCAGAGAAAAAGATCATCTCCGGCCTGAGGAGACCATTACCTGAAAAGAGAACTCTGGTGAGAAGTGATAATGATTTGTAACAACTTAGTGCATTAGGCTCAGCTGGTGAGTTTTGTTTTATTTTGCTTAGTAACTTACTGTGATCTGTTTGGGATTTAAGTGGTTGCAAGTGATAACACTGTTATACTTAGTAAAATCACTTTTGTTTATCATCATCAAGCCCAGTGTAAATAATTATTACCAGGGGGCAGGGGAGGAGGCGACAGCTGTACATCTCTAGATTTAATTGATAAACGGGGCGAACATCTTTGGGGCAGGGGAGGAGGCGACAGCTGTACATCTCTCGATTTCATTGATAAAAGGGGCGAACATCTTATGAGCTCACTCTATATCGGGGTGGGGAACTTTTTTTGAGTCGGGGGCCGCACACAAGTGAGAAGCCAAAAAAACCCACAAACCCAAATCCTCACTGCCGTAGCCCCTTACTAAGAAAGAGAAAGACATTCCCCACATTCTCCTGCCACAGCAAGAGCCTAGAAGGGCCCAAGCTAGTAGATTTTATGTGCTCCAGTCCCAAGGGGCTGGGACTCTGGTGTAGCTGGAGCCTCAGGGGCCGGATCCAGGCAAACCAAGGGCAGCTTCCAGCCCCCTGGCCTTAGGCTCCCCACCCCTGTTTCATATAAACTCTATGCCCAGTGAGACAAATTTATTTGGGGTTTTGGCCCTATTGGGTCTGTGCACTTGGGTGTTGTGTCATGTCCCGGCAACTGAGCCTCCCAGAGCTGGGTCCTGGTCCCTCCGCCTCCCCCTCACTGGGGGAGACCAGAGCTTCTCTAACAGGTGACAGTCCCAAGAGGATCTCTGTGACCCAACCCATCACATTCACCTCGGCACGGGGAAGGGAGGAGCAGCTCCCCTCTCCCCCAGTGTGGCACAGCACTCAGCGCCAAACCCAGGGACTGCTTTGCCAAACGTACATCGGCGCGGTCCAGGCAGCTGCCCAGGCCATTCACGGCACTGGCAGCCCTGCAGGCTTCCCAGGTGGCCCTACACACCTGCAATGGCCCCAGTAGCGTAGCTGGCACACCACCACCGCCCATCCCCCTAGAGCCCTTTAAAATAACCCTCGCCCCACTCCATGATTTGGGACAGCAACTTCCTGCCTAAGGCGGCAGGTGAGGCCTGGGGAGCAAGGATTCTACTTCACCCTCTTCTGTGCAAAGACAAGTTCCTACCTAGAGCCGGGTGCAAATCAGAGTTGCCATCCTGGTGGAAAATCCAATTGTCCCAGGGCTGGTTTAGACCCAAATCAGGACAAAAGGTTGAAATACCCACAAAGGGATGAAACTGCCAGGAGGCCTGCAGTGCTGTAGGCCTCACAACTTTCAACAAGCCGGGACACTTCATCCATTTGGGTTTTTTTAAAGGGACAGCTCCCCAGCCAGCACTAGCTAACAGAAGGTGCAGAAGAGCTCCTAGCCACGAGCCCTAAAGGAGTGACTTGCTTCTGTGACTTCATGCAAATCATAGAATCATAGAATCATAGGACTGGAAGGGACCTCGAGAGGTCATCGAGTCCAGCCCCCCGCCCTCAAGGCAGGATCAAGCTCCGTCTACACCATCCCTGACTGACTGCATGCAAATCATGTTTCTGTGCGTCGGTTTCCCCCATCTATAAAGCTGTGTTAGGAGTTCCCTTCTCCCCTCCCCCTATCCACCAGCCGCGCAAAGGGGCAAAGAGGGTTCATTCATTCATTCATTCCATCTTGGCAAAGCACCCGGCACTCTTTAAAAGGAAGGCACCGAGGGTTTATCTTCACGCCTACAGATCAATGGAAGGAAGCCGCAAAGGACTGGGGGCTATTGCAGCAGAGAGCTCAGGGATCTGTCAGACAACCAGGGCAAGCTTCAGGGTCGGTTCATTCTTGTCGCTCTTCTCTGTACCCTTTCCAATTTCTCCACATCTTTCTTGAAATGTGGCGCCCAGAACTGGACATGTTTCTGTGCGTCGGTTTCTGTGCGTCGGTTTCCCCCATCTATAAAGCTGTGTTAGGAGTTCCCTTCTCCCCTCCCCCTATCCACCAGCCGCGCAAAGGGGCAAAGAGGGTTCATTCATTCATTCATTCCATCTTGGCAAAGCACCCGGCACTCTTTAAAAGGAAGGCACCGAGGGTTTATCTTCATGCCTACAGATCAATGGAAGGAAGCCGCAAAGGACTGGGGGCTATTGCAACAGAGAGCTCAGGGATCTGTCAGACAACCAGGGCAAGCTTCAGGGTCGGTTTTCGCTATTTGGGGAAACCCACATTCCCAGGCACCCAAGCCCAGCCCAGCTGCCAGGCAAGGGTTGCCCTTCCTTTACCTTCCCAGTGGCTCCATGGGAAACAAACTGGGCTCCCTCCTTCTGGGCGATTTCCACCTGCTTCCGGGCGATGCAAGGCCTAGCCAGCGAGGTGCCCAGGAGATACCTGTCCTCATACAGGGCGTTGGCTTGGACTGCTGGCCAGATGAACTCCTCCACGAACTCCCTGCTGACATCTTCGATGTAAACCTGCACCAAAGAGACAGCCCCACGCAGTGAGGGTGGCCCAGGGCTCCTACTGGGATAGGGTGTTGCTGGGGGGATGAGAATTCATTTATTCACTGGCACCCTGCTCCAACCACCTGCTTCTGAAGTCTTCCATAAACTTCACCCATACATCCTGGAGACAAAGGGCCAAATTTATCCCAGGAGAAGCATCACTGAGACCAGTAGAGGATGACACCAGCTGAGTGTCACCCATGACTCAGATAAGCATCTCCCCTTTTCTAGGCGCTGGTGAAAGCTTCTGGATCAATAGCTCTAGAAACCAAAACCCTTTTTCTAGCCCTAGAACAGAAACCTCCTGGCAGCAGCACATGCTTCCCTGGGTTACCTCCCTCCCCTAAAACCTCCTGGCAGCAGCACATGCTTCCCTGTGTTACCTCCCTCCCCTAGGAGATGGGTTGAAACCCGGAACAGGTGGGAATGACACCAAGCCCTGGTCTGGAGATGAAGCAGTGACACAGACAGAAAGACTTGGTATAGCTGGCCGACCAGCCCTTCGCCCCACCAGTCCTGCAATGACTGCTCGTCCTTAGTACAAGAAGAAAAATGAAGGAAAGATGGAGGGAAAACAGGGAAGTGAGAAACGGAGAAGAAAGGTGCCCAAATGTGGCTGTGAAGAGGACTGTACAGAGTTGAAGAAACGAAGGAGACGTAGTGAGCGTAGGACGTGGCTCTGGGAAGCTGGCTTTGTGCAGTGCTGCTTTGCATTTGGGATGGATTAGGGGCCCGGCCATTTAGAGAGGGAAATCTCTGAAAACATTTCTGACCCTGGGCAAAGAGGAGGAACGACACCCCATCATCCTCATCCTGAGTGTGCTATTTTGAAAAGCCGGCAGCTATTTGGGGCTGGAGATGGGGCACGGCCCCACAGGCTGGAGACAGCTACGCCCTAGAGAGGCACCAGGGCTTGTGTTACCTTTCTGGCTCCCAGAGCTACGGCCTTCTTTCTCGCCTCTTCAAAGTTCTCATTTTGCCCAATGTTAGCCTGGAAGTGAAAATGAGAGAGAGACTGAACTGTAGGCCCCAACGCTGTCAGCTTGCACCCCCACCCAGCACCGTCAGCTGGGTTTCCACCTCTCTCCCTGGTACAAGGCTCAAGCATTTCAAGGCACGAAAGAGCCGACAGTCATCTGGGCTCTTGCCGTAAGAGGATGGGGAGGAATCTCCCCATGGACACAAGGTTGGAGGCTGTGGAGATTGATCAGCGCCAGAGGTTAGAACGCAGAACAGCCCAGCCTTTCTAGCCCTGCTTTTCCTGGTCATTCTGACCAAGCTGGACTAGGATGGGGGAAGGGGGAGAGGGAGACCAGGCCCCCAGAGGTGCCACAAGCCACATCTTGTAGGTTGCCCTGCTCAGGAGACCCCTAGCTCACCAGTTGCCCAGTGGGGAATGGCCTTCATCCCTCAGACAGTCTGGATTGAGCCGCCTGCCTGGCAGGGAAGGTCAATCCACCGTAAGGGACTATTCTGTCTCCTCTCCCCCAGCAAACTCCTCCCAGCCTGAGCAGGGCCACTGACAGCTGCACTGTTGGATCCTGTTAACATTGCATGAGGAACAATCATAGAATCCTATGTGTGTCTGCCCATAGTGTCTGGAGCTAGGACTCTCCCTTCATCCCACTAACCCTGCCATGCCCCAGCAGGGGCTAGGCCGGATGGGAATCAGAGTTATTTTGTCAGGGAAATTCCAAGACTGACATGTTTCCCCGTTCCATTATGGCCTCTTAAAAGCGGCTTGGGTTTTTTTTAAAAGGAATTTCAGACTGAAAAATCATTGCGAAATGAAAAGCCAAAACAGTTCATCCCCAAACAGCCAAAAAGCTCCGCTTCCCTTTTTTACTAAGCAAAATTTCATCGACGTCGCTTAAAATTTCCATTTCCTTGCAAATGGGGGTTTTCACTGAAGCAACATTTCAGGGCAGCTCTAGCTGGTTTCCCTTCACCGTGAGTGCCTGGACACACCCTGAAACCAGACAGGCCCAGACTAT